GAGAGGAGAAGAGCACGAGAGAGAAGAAAGAGAGAGAAAGAAGTGAGAGAAAGAAGAGAAAAGAAAGAAGAGAGTGAGAGAGAGTGAAAGAGAGTGAGACTGAGAGCGAGTGCGCGCACGCAAGAAAGAGCGAGAGAGAAATATACTCTCTCTCTCTCTCTCTCTCTCTCTCTCTCTCTCTCTCTCTCTCTCTCTCTCTTTTCCTCGCTCTCTCTCTTTCTCTCACACTCTCTCGCGCTCTTTCTCTCTCTTCTCTCTCTTGTTTCTCTCTCTCTCTCTCTTTCTCTCGCTCTCTCTCTTCTCTCTCTCTTGTTTCTCTCTCTCTCTTTCTCTCGCTGTCGCTCTTCTCTCTCTCTCTTTTCTCTCGCTCTCTCTCTCTCCCTCTCTCTTTTTCTCTCCCTCTCTCTCTCTCTCTCTATCTTCCTCTTTCTTTTCTCTCTCACTCTCTCTCTCTCTCTCTCTCTCTCTCGTTTTTCCTTACGCGCACTCTCTCTTTCTCTCTCTTTCTCTCTCTCTCTCTCTCTCTCTCTCTCTCTCTCTCTCTCTCGGTCGGCGTCTCTCTCTCTCTCTCTCCTTTCTCCCCTCTCCTCGGGCGCAGCTCTCTCTCCTCTCTCTTTCCCAGTGCGCGCTTCATCTTCTCTCTCTGTCTCTTTCCTCTCTCTCTCTTGCTATCCTCGTGACCGGCGCTCTCTCTCTCTCTCTCTCTCGTGCGCGGCTCTCTCTCTCTCTCTCATCTTCTCCCGTGCGCGCTCTCTGCTTTCTCTCCTTCCTCCGTGCGGCGGCTCTCTCTCTCTCTCCTCGTGCCGCCTCTCTCTCTCTCTCTCTCTCTCTCGCTCTCTCTCTCTCTTCCTCCTGTTGGCGCGCTCTCTCTTCTCTCATCTGGTCTACTCTCTCTCGCTCTCTCTTCCTCGTGCGCGCGCTCTCTCTCTTCCTCGTGCGCTCTCTCTCTCTCTCTCTCTCTCTCTCTCTTCCTCGTGCGCGCTCTCTCTCTCTCTCTTTCTCCCTTCCTCGTGCGCGCTCTCTCTCTCTCTCTCTCTCTCTCTCTTCCTCGTGCGCGCTCTCTCTCTCTCTCTTCCTCGTGCGCGCTCTCTCTCTCTCTCTCTCTCTCTCTCTCTTCCTCGTGCGCGCTCTCTCTCTCTCTCTCTTTCTTCTCTCTTCCTCGTGCGCGCTCTCTCTCTCGTCATCGTTCCTTACGCGCTCCTCGCTCTCTCTCTCTCTCTCTACTCTCTCTCTCTTCCACCACCTGCGTTCTGCAACTCACCCACAAGTCCCCAGTCGCTCACGTCGGCGCCCCTCTCTCGCTTCTCGCTTTCCTTTCTCTGCGCTCGCCCGCGCTCTCGTCTTCTCTCTCTTGTTCTCTGCGCTCTCCTCTCTCTCCTCTTCTCTCTTGTTTCTCCGCTCAGCCGCCCACCAGTCCCTACCCGGCTCGCCTCCTCCTCTATCCCTCCTCTTTGCTCTTTTCCCTCTCCTCTCCTCGTCTTACTACTCCTCTGTCTCTTATCTTCCTTCTTTTATTGTGCTCTCTCTCTCTCTCCGTTTCCTTACGCCTCTCTCTTTCTCTCCTCCTTTCCTCTCTCTCGCTCTTTAGACCCCTTCGGCTCTCTTCCTCCGCATCGCGGTCTTCTCGTCTCTCTCCTCTTCTGCGTTCCTTCCTCGGTATCGGCGTTTCCGTGTCGCGCGCTCTTCTCCTCTTTCGCCTACCTCTTCATTTCTCTCTGTCGCGTTATATTGAAGAATTCTGACCAAGAGTGGTCAGGACAGCAATTTGCCCCCTAACCTCAGAATCATCCAGGTACGACCGTAAAACTAAAAACGCGCACGTATTTTATATAGTATTTGTGTACGCGGTTGCGTGGCTTAGGGCGGCTGGTCTTGCAACAATGAATTCCATGGGTAAGTAACAACAGTAACATGACTAATTGCGTAGCGTACATGATCATTTTGAAAATTGCGTTTTTGTAGTTTTTCGTAGCTGTTTTCGTCACGATAACCCCGTCTCTGCTGTAAGTGATGTAATTGTGATATACAGACATGGAAAGCAACGATAAGAAGTCAATGGCGCGATCGGCGTCGGAGTCTGAAATACAAAGAGGAAGGTCTGGTAAGACCGGCGGAGATAGACACCGAGGACGCTCCCGATCCCCTACACCATCTCTGACATCCCAACGCACTTCACAGCAGACGAAGAGTGCTACTCTTCCGCGCACAAGTACTAGCAAACACAGTAAGACCGACGAGCGGAAAGCGTCGAGCAATATGAAAAGTAAATTTTTTAGCCCGTTTTTGCGTGTTCGCGAGCGGGTACGTCCATTAGAGTGCTTCATACAGAAAGTCGTTCGACAGGTAGTGAACAGAACACCAATTGGAAGGAAGCGAGCAGAACAAAGAACAAGGCCTGCGTACAGGAGAAACTCGTTTTCGTCTCCGAGTGGACCAACACACAAGCTATCGAAAGATAAAATGCCGGGAAGCACCGGTCTTCGGAACCTCGGAAACACGTGTTACATAAACGCGATAATCCAGTGCCTGAGTAAGACCGACATACTAGCAGAATACTTTTGCTGCGATCAGTACAAAGCAGATCTTGCTAGAAATAACAAGATTAATGCTCGGACCTATGGCACACGAGGAGAGCTGACGGAAAATCTTGCACTACTGTTTAAGTCGCTGTGGGTTTGTGAATACATGCCTGAAGTATCTAGTCAGTTTAAGAGTTGTGTCAGTAAATATGGACCACAGTACAGAGGAAGCAGCCAACACGATGCACAAGAATTCTTAGTATGGTTACTAGACAAAGTCCATGAAGATTTGAATATTGCATCCAAGAAGAAGTACAGGTCAAATAAAGTAACTACTCATTTTCATTGATTATCCAGGCATCCAGAATAAAAATCATATATCTCTTCTAAATAAATTATAATTTTAAAGCCGCACAATGCGCATCCAAACGCTAATTGCTCCAGTACTAGACTAGCAAATACTTCGTGTCATGCATAATCACACTACCTTATGACAAAATAAACTCTAGTTGCTCCCATTTCACTGCGCGTTTGCTTAAAACCCACAAGAAAGAGGTGAGAAAACTGGCATTCTGGCGCAAACGCCGACTGTTTGCCAAACAATCAAGCCTCGAAGTGGTGAGGTGACGTCACATGTTTTTATCTTTGCTACACCCGTACCGCTGTACCGCAGCACCGCTGCACGGTTGCTTGGGGAAACTGTCAACAACATTGGAGGTATTTTCAAATACCTTTTATAAGACAACGCGCAGTGAAATGGGAGGAACTAGAGTTTATTTTGTCATAAGGTAGTGTGATTATGCATGACACGAAGTATTTGCTAGTCTAGTACTGGAGAAATTAGCGTTTGGATGCGCATTGTGCGGCTTTAATAGTAATTATATATTATATTAATAGTGTTAATAATAGTAATATATATATAATAATAATAATAATTATAATAGTAGTCAATGCAGTAACTGTACTTTACTAATATACTAACCTATTTTACAATGTTGGAATTCCAGTTTCACCCGATCTGTATGGACAACCGTATTCGCTTTTTCACTTGTTGTTACGGGTGCTCTGGGTCTGCATATTGGAGTTTCAGGCATAAGCAGAACTTCATCTATAAAAAAACATGACAGTTATAACCCCATAGGCCCTACTGCACAGAATTACTTGACTCGACTGAAATATGATTATCGTGTGCACATCACTCGGGCAAGTAGGGCAATGCTTAAATGTTTTAATTACAAGATGGTTATTATGGGGTGTGAATCGGCTGCTTTTAGTGCAAGAAAGTTCAATTGGGGTGGTTTTATATATTAATGGCAACAGAGTACAATTAGACTTAAATTGCAATGCTAAACTTGTGATTGGCTGCCAGTAAGGTATTTCTAGTACCAGAAATTTAATTAAGAAAAAGTTCCGTTTCCGGGCAAGTGTTTGTGAAGAGTATAGCTGGAACTCCGGTGCACCCTAAAGCCTTGCTACTTATTTCTGCCTTATAATGGTCACATTTGAAGTTTATGAAATTGCAGCTTTTCCACAACAGCTGATATAACGGTGCATCATGTTTATCGTATATATTCATGATGTGACTTATCTTACAGAGTAGTTATGGACGACCGGATGACATCGTGGCAGCTGAGGCATTGGCCAATCACACGCGATGCAACAGCAGTTTTGTGCAAGACCTGTTCCTTGCTCAGTACCAGTCTTCGCTCACCTGTCCCAAGTGCAAACGCCAGAGCAATAACTTTGACCCGTTTCTGTGCGTGTCGTTGCCGCTCCCACAACGTGCTGATCGTCCCGTCTACGTTACTATCGTCTACCTAGACGCACAGCCGAAACAAGTAAAGCTGGGTACGTATTAGCCTGTGTAGTTGGCAGAGTTATAGTTTTACACTACAGTGAGTCTTCTTTGACTTTATGCAACTCCAAAAAAGAAAGCTTTTTTTTGTCTATGAGCATGGAATGTCTTATTTTGCAGGAGTCAATGTAAATATTAATGCAACTGTCAAGGAGTTGCGTAGTGAGCTATCCCTCCAGACAAAAATACCTCCAAAACAGGTGAGTAAATTCACAGAAATCCAATTAACTCTGTTCTTGGTAAAAGGACTCTAACCAGTCATCGAAAATATACAAGGTTATGCAATGTGAATTAATAACACCTAACTGATCTCTTTGATTTTGTGTAGTTCTTTTATACTATCATCTCATCAATGTACATTTGCTGTTTTACATGTGTGTGTATGTTATTTCGTTGGGAGATGAAATGGAATCAAATTGCATCTAAACACACCTCTTGCAGTTCCTGATGACAGAGTTATACTATGATGGATTCTACCGCACGTTCTTAGATGACCAGTCGCTCAGCATTGTCCATGAAACCGATAACATCTATTGCATCGAAGTTCCGCCTGCGTCCGACAAGTTACTTATCATTGCCAGTAACAGACTCGGTGTTGGGAGCAAGGGCAGGAAGTATGTGCCCTCGGGCTTTACTAGCAGTTCTTTGTGTACCGAGTTGTCACTCGTATTGTGTTTCATATTAAGTGGTTGAGTTATTCTATATGGGACAGAGGTATGGCATTGAGTGTACATTGAATCACAGATGCTCTTGGCATGTTTCACCTTAGAACTGTTTGTATCTTCAAGATGATCAATCAGTTCACTTTGCTCAGATGACACCTTGATTGTCGCATTTGTGGTTCGGTGCGGTCAGCGTTGGTGAGATTAACTAAATAGAGAGATATTTGTTCTGCACTTTTTATTAATTACTCATAATTACACACGTGGCGCACAGGTTTGGAAGCCCCCTGGTGTTACAGCTTAGCCGACAGGCCTCCTACCAGAAACTGCAAGATGCTATCCTGGCCAAGCTTGCTCCCTGCCTGAAAGACGGAGTCACCTCAAAGGTCTGTGTGCATCTGCTTGAAAGTGGTGGTGATTTATAGAATTTCTATAGAATATAGAATTTAGAATTTATAGAATATATATTATTTATAGAATTTATAGAATTTATTGGGAGTAGTATAAGTAGCATCGAAATTGTAAAACTAATTTGAGACAAGCATGTCTGCTGCCAGAAAAAGTTACTATACACCCCATAAGTGGTAAAGTTAGAGAATAAAATGGTTTTTTCACCAATTCTATCAATAGTTGGTTGTTATGCTGGCTAATATCTATTCCTGGGGCCCATTGTCAGAAACATATTAAAGTTAAGGCTAATAATTGCAGAGAATGGGAGTACTGTTCAACATAAGAGTTGTGGATGGTATTGCTGGCAAGAGCTACTTATCTCATGATGATGACCATCCGTTGTTTGTGGAGACTGTGGACAGGTAGCCAAATGTTAATGCAAACTTATGGTATAGTAAAGTGTGTAGCACAATTTTCTTTCATATCAAGTTTATGATACTATTCATTCCAGTTCAATTGCAATGCTAAATAGTATTTTATGCATAGTAATGTGCACAATATGAGTGATCCATTTATACCCCACTTTGCTAATAGGCGTGCGTGTGTGTGTGCGTACATGCAACGTGAGTTGTGTCTGTGTGTGTTTGCATGTGTGCACCTGCCTGTATCTTTAAGAGATGCAGGCCTATTAATGAATAATACGAGGTATGCAATTTCTATGATTTAATACATGTATCAGAGCCCTGGAAGCTTGTGCTGGTAATGCTCCACACCACATCAAGGTGATACTGGAGTGGGATCCAGATACCAAACAGGTGTAAGTATTCCATATCCTTCAATCATTAGTGTAATTACCACTTTTTCTCCCACTAGATGGCGAAACAATGCTAACCAGCTTGTCATGGTCCCCTTGAAGATTTATTTCGAAATATTTCCTAAAAATGCAAAATCTGAAAAAATATAGCAAAATATAGTCTCATCTAACAGTGGATATGTTACTGATTACACCAACTTGAAAAACACTAAGAATTTATGCGGTTGTAGCATAGAAAATTGGTATTGAACACGCTGTAACGCCATGGCATATTTGATTATAGCAAAAAGTAATTTGCAAATGGCACCTTCAAAACAACTGCTCCCATAGTGCACCTGATACACACAAAAAGGCATCTGATTCTGTGTTGTGTACTCCGTGCGCTTTTTAAATTGGCCGATATCTCACACTATTGCGAGATAGTCCTAGATTCGCAAGAAATGGTGGCGGAAATCAAAACGAGTAAATAAAATTGGAATTGTGCATGTTTTTATGAATATAGCTACGTAGGAAGGTTCAAAGACATGTTAGCATTACTCTAGACAGTTCCTGTCACTCGAGCTATAACGGTACGCATCGGTAAAGTAGGAAAAACACGAGACTGCTTGCAAATTATTTTCGAAACCCTGCCTTTAACACTGCCTATCTGTGGTGTGAAGCAGTTGAGTTAGTCAATGACCGAGTCATTATCTTTCTAGTGTTCTCCTTAATCGTTGAATTAGACTGTGATTGGAGGAACAGCCCACGCAGCGGTACGGACCAACGCACAAGGAGGTTTCATGCTCCGGTACTAGAAGAATACATTCAGAAAATCAGCTGAGCGCCAACATTGTCAATGACTAATGTTTGATCCTGTACACCAGAGGAAGAAAAGGTGTATGGGTTTACACTCTCATCAGCTCGCAATTTCTGATTCTGTCTTCACTTTATCAGGTAATTATTCTGGTCCAGCTTGTGGACTAGTGAATCGGGTTATATTGAACTTGGTCGATACGTTAAGTGTTTATTACTGGAAAAAATTTTATCGATTGTAATTACAACACGATGGGTGTGAATAGATTCCTAAAGGTGTGCTTTGTTGTTTCAAAGTCTTGTTGGAATATGCAAAACAGCATGGCTGTAAGAGTTGTTTGTTGTTTGTTTCAAGTTCTTATCATGTAGAATATGAAAACTCTGGCTCACTAGAGTTTTGTTTGTTTGTATAGCTCATCTACACATAGTCAGATGAAGCTTGTAGAATCGCACTGTAATTGGTATCTGATCGTCCGTCCCTAGCGTCCGTAAATATCATCTTTCAACTAGCACCGTGGCAGCGCCCGTACCGTCAACAGTTGGGCACCAAATCTTAAACGCGCTCGACGTACTGGAGGTACACAGAATAGGTTCGGAAGACGTGAGGGGGGGTACATGGCCGAAAAACAAGAAGAAGTTGGGATGTCGAAAGCCTGGGGGTCAAAGGCTCAAAGGTGCCAAGAGGTGTAAAATAGGAGGGAGAACATCTCACGTCCTTAGACTTAAGGTATAAGGGAACGGAAAGCGGAGCCATTGGGCGGGCAGAACCAATTCTTAAACCGCTCGACCATAGGGCTCGTGATAGCGGTGTATAGCATCATGGTAGGGAAAAGCCATCCCTGTGCCGAGATGGAGTCACACGGTGCAAAGGCATGGTCAGATTTTAGAACCGATTTTCTATGAGGAATGGCCTGCACCGGAGCGAGTTAGAAAACTTTATTCTGTTCAAGAGCCGGTGACCTACGCAATTATTGTAATGGCACTTATTGAAAGTGGGACACATGAATATCTACTGTTCTTGCTGTACAATGCCGTTCAAGAGTAAGTGTCAGATAACAATTTTGACCCTGCAACAGAGGGTTAAAACATGGGAATTTGTGACTTGTCTGTTTCAGATTAAGGAAAATTTGAACATGCCTTGTGTTATTGCTAGTTCAAATAATCTATATCATGCCAATGGATGTATTGAGCTACAATGTCACGTCCAAAGTGAAATTTCCATAAGCTAAATTGGTTAAAGAGAATGCGTTTTATTAATGTACTTTAAATCGTATAATGTATATGGCATTCTGCTTAAGCGTGTCAAGTATTGTTACATGTAAACGTATAGCCACTGCCGAGTGAGGTTCTACTGCCAGTGCAATTGTGTTTGAGTGAGTAGTTTAAGTTGGAAAATTTTTTTCGGCCTTATTTGGTTACAGTTGGCAGCATCTTCTAAGTTGCAGACCTGTATGGCTTGCACGATAGCGTAAAATATAGGAATGAGTGCTTTACCTATTCTGTCTTGCGAATAGTTGTTGCATACTACGTATGATGGGAGCCTTCGCATCTTAAATCTGAGACAGCTTAACGTTACGCGCACAACTCTCGTGAGCAACTTGGGAGTGGACGATTCCCACTTACCGATACAGTGTCCTTATTGAGAAGGTTCCTGATAGCCATCCCTGTGCATTCCGACTGTTTCAGGCGTGTATGTGAACACATTTGGGACTGAAGCAGGGTTTACTAGAGATCCGCCACCACTCCAGGTGGGGGACCCACGCCACACAGAGTGGCAGCCGCAGTAGACCGTTAGATTGAGCGCTGTTCGTGCGTCCTGACGCGGCAACTTGTTCTGGTTTTTCAGCTTTGTTGATATGAAAACCCAGCTAATAAGAGCTTGTTTGTTGTTTGTTTCAGCTTTTGTTGATATGAAAACCTTATCCAGCTCTACAGGAGTTGGTTTGTTCTGTTTGTTTTGTTTCAGCGTTGTCTGATATGAAGTTGGAATCTCTCAGCTAGTTAAAGAGATTGATTTGTTGTTTGTTTCATGCTTTCTATTGATATGAAAACCCACAGCTATAAGAGCTTTTTGTGGTTTGTTTCAGCTTGATGACCAAAGAACATCATGGCTTTGTCGGGGCCACTGAAAATAGGTTGCCGCATGGTTACGACTAAACGCCCTCGCTGTGGACACCGCTGCTGCATATTCTCGCGTATCCACTCTGACAAGGTTCAAGGCAGGTAAATAGCAAGTCGACATATTGCGTCTCCATGGCAACGGTAGCTTAGAGTTTGCTAATGGCTTGCTGAACCAATAGAGTGAATAATTGTGATTAGTAGATTGTTGATCCAGCGCTATGTGGAGATAAGTGGAACCGTGATTCACGCATATCAAAATTGGGGCCATATTATTATTATTCATACGGCTGTTATTATTATTATAATTATCTATTAGCTTGAGTTTAGACTCCCCCCCCCCTCAAACAAAAATTTTCTGACCCCTTTGGTTAATTATAGAAGTGTACTGGAGCTCACAGCTCGGCATCCACAGATTGCTTACACGATCCATCCGGCCCACACCTACACTCAGTAAAGGTCACATCACCTACGAACAGCAAGGGTTGTTGACTGAAACTATGCCTTGCACAGTTAACATGCCCGGAAGCAAGCCGAGCCGTAAAGTTGAGCGACCCTGCCCTGTCGACTTAACCCCGGTGTATTGACTCCGCCATGACTAACAACCCAGTGGCACCGCAACCGGCGGGTTCTTGACGGCAAGCCACCAATGGGTCGGCACAAATCAGTGGTCGGCCTTGGAAGAGGAAGTATCGTAGCATGACAACCCAGAAACGACACAACGTTACGACGCTGTATGCTGTCACCGAAACCAGCAATCGTACGCCTCCAGCTCCGGGCACACTAACAACATAACCAACACACGGGTTGCGTAGCCACTCTTCGATTCTTACACCTACACACCTAAAAATCACTAATGGCAGTAAGCCAGAGGCGTTGAATAAAGCAGTTTGCTCCATTTTACAGTCGCATTACAGGAGTTGTAAATGACACACGTTGCCCACTCATCGAATATACGATGAGTTTAAAGAAGTAATATTAAAGGCATAAATAGCCGCATTGATTAATGCAGTATGAATGAACCGAAAATCCTAGGAGTATATCCGTGGCACCCTGTGTAGTAATAAGTGCAATTAAACTTAACATCCCACGCGGTAATTACTTTGTCCAATAATCACTGCTGTTACACTTACCAAACAAACTGTATTTTTTTTACTATCTCTTGATTATTTATCAAACAATCAATTTACGTGCCGTAAATGTCAATCCAGGAGTGTCAAGCGATGATCCGTGAGAGAGAGTGTTACGGGATAGAGATACCAACTCAGAGTAGAGTATAAGACATTTGTGCCGCCCGTATGTTTGGACGCTCAGATGAAATGGAGGTTCCAGCGGATGCCTGCTGCTAAAGCGCAATAATGTTGTGCTTGTAATCTCAAGATCTCACGTATCTTCAATTTATTCTCAAGAGTAAAACCCACTAACTATACGAAATGCGCACTCAGCACCACACGATGAATCACCTGATGATAGCATTGCGTACATCCACGGAGGCCCATGCGTACGCGAAAATTCCCGGTGTACCTAATAATCTGTAATCACACGTGATCCGCTTCGGCGAGTGGTTTGAAAGCTGTAGAACACACTCATTTATTCTGACCAGCCCGGATTTCTAGCCGTTTCTTAGTAACCAGCGAGCGGATATTGGACAAACTAATACTCATTTGGATGTAAGGTTATTAGCTATGAACTACAGAACACAAGGTGGCCAGTTACGTCTAGGCAATCTCATCAACAATTGCATCAATCAATGGCGCTAGTATCTCTTAACTACGAATCGTTAATCCATCATGCTGCATAGAGTAACCGTCCGAGCTCCGCGCTTGTAGGAGACTGGGTGAAACATCACTGGTGCCCTTCGTGACCTTGTGTTTATGGTTTAAATACTACGTGTGAGAGCATAGCCGAGGGCTAGCAGCGTGAGTGTGATGACCTCGTGTTTGTTTCTAGCTATGTGTAAGAACATGGCTGACAGTCAGTGGTACCAGTACGACGACCAGAGAGTCACTCCCATCACAGAGAAGGACGTTGTCAACAAGGCTGCATACATTCTCTTCTATCAGGTAAATGTGTGTGTGTGCGTGCGTGCATGTGTGTGCCGTGTGTGTGTGTGTGCGTGTGCGTGTGCGTGTGCGTGTGCGTGCGTGTGTGTGTGTGCGTGCGTGCATGTGTGTGCGTGTGCGTGCGTGCGTGCGTGTGTGTCTCCGTGCATGTGTATTGCAACTGCAGCAGTATATCCTTATTGACTTGCTCATATTTTTGCAACTATCAGATTGTTTTCCCTGAAAAAGTACATGTATTTGTATTTGAATTACTTGCAATAAAGTTTTAATAATTTTATTTTTTAATCGCTTCATTGTGGAATGTGACGCTCTGTGAACGATTGCTGGATCGAATATGTTTTCGTGTTTCTGTTTGTGTTGTTACCGTTAAATCTTATGATTTCCGTTGTTGTTACAGCGACGTAGTCTGTCACAGACAGGCAGTGCCCATGGTGGTGCTGGTGTATCTGTGCAGCGACACTGGGTGCAGCGTATGCCAGAGTTTAGGTACAGACCTCCAACAAAGAGCCAGTCGGTTGGAACGTTAGGTGCGTGATCATTTTGTGTTCAGTCTAGACTCTAGACACTAGCTAAGCATTCATCAACATTGCAATAAAAACTATGTGTGTTACCACTTAGTACTTACATGGATTTGTGATGGCTTGAGTCTTCATCCAGCGCAAATGATATTGTAGATGAGAATAGTTCCAAAATTTCTCAATAAGAGAACATGTATAAGACAGTATTCTATTAATGTATTCATATATTTTGTATTCAGACATGTATTTCTATACATGCACATATATATTATTTTGTGTATTCTATACATAAGTTTGTGCTATCTTGTATTGAATAACTATTTGCAAATTACCTGAGCACTGAATTTGTAAGGTGTGATTATGCAATCAAGACTGTTATTACTTCCACTCTTTATGAAACCTTGTTGATGTGGTTAGGAGTAGTACCGTACATGTGGATCATTACCCAACTACGTAGGGTTATCTAGTACAAATACTGGGGCCGCGAACCCGTCTACGTTTCATGCAGGAACGCTACGATCTGATCGGCGATGTGCAGCGTAGTCACTTCAAGTCGACATGAGTGTTGCTACGCTGCTAATCGGCGATAAAGTAGTCGCCGATAGATAAATCGTAGGCCGACATAAGCGGGCCTTAACAGTGGATATGTTACTGATTACACCAACTTGAAAAACATTAAGAATTTATGCGGTTGTAGCATAGAAAATTGGTATTAAACACACTGTAACACCATGGCATATTTGATTATAGCGAAAAGTAATTTGCAAATGGCGCCTTCAAAACAACTGCTCCCATAGTGCACCTGATACACACAAAAAGTCATCTGATTCTGTGTTGTGTACTCGGTGCGATTTTTAAATTGGCCGATATCTCACACTATTGCGAGATAGTCCTAGATTCGCAAGAAATGGCGGCGGAAATCAAAACGAGTAATCAAAATTCGAATTGTGCATGTTTTTATGAATATAGCTAAGTAGGAAGGTTCAAAGACATGTTAGCATTACTCTAGACAGTTCCCGTTACTCGAGCTATAACGGTACGCATCAGTAAAGTAAGGAAAACACAAGACTGCTTGCAAATTATTTTCGAAACTCTGCCTTTAACACTGCCTATCTGTGGTGTGAAGCAGTTGAGTTAGTCAATGACCGAGTCATTATTTCAGTGTTTTCTCCAACGTTGAGGATGTGATTGAGGAACACGCAAGCGTACAACAACTGAAAGGTCGCTACCAGAAACAGCTGAGCGCAACATTGTCAGAGTGTTTTGACCTGTACACAGAGGAAGAAAAGGTGTGTGGGTTACACTAATCAGATGAATTACTGCATGCAGCAGATTTCCTATTTTGATATGTCAGCTGTGGACTAGTGAATATGAACTTGTTGTTGTAGTGTTTTTACCTGGAATTTTTATCAGTATTCAAGTGTAGTTTCTAAAGGGTCAGTTGTTTGTTTCAGCTTTGTTGATAAGAAAACCCAGCTGTTAGAGTTGTTTGTTGTTTGTTTCAGCTTTGTTGATATGAAAACCCAGCTATAAGAGTTGTTTGTTGTTTGTTTCAGCTTTGTTGATATGAAAACCCAGCTATAAGAGTTGTTTGTTGTTTGTTTCAGCTTTGTTGATATGAAAACCCAGCTATAAGAGTTGTTTGTGGTTTGTTTTAGCTTGATGACAAGAACACATGGCTTTGTCCCAACTGTAAAAGGTTGCCGCATGGTACGACTAAACGCCTCAGCTTGTGGACCCTGCCTGATATTCTCGTTATCCATCTGAAAAGGTTCAAGCAGGTATAGCAGTCGACATATTACGTCTCCATGGCAACGGTGCTTGAGTTTCTAATGTTTCTGACCATAGAGTAATTAATGTTATTAGGTAGATTGTTGACCAGGTATTAAGTGGAACCGTGATCAGATATCACCAATGGGCTATTATTATTATTATTATCGTTGTTATTATTAATATTACTATTATTATTATTAACCTATTATTAACCTATTATCCACTCCTGATGTATATCTATAACATCAGTTGTGTCCACCTCCACCAGCGCTGCCACCTCCGCACTCACGGAGCCGGACAACGCTAGGGGCCTAGGAGCCGTAGTAGTTGCAGCAGCGGAGTTTTTCCGGCAAGTTTTACAACTGCGGCGTTAGACTGACACCTAGTC